ACACACAGACAAACAGACAGATGCTTAGCGCTTTATTATAAGTCATGATTCGCCTGCACCGAAAGAGATACATACAATTACAGTGCTTTTCAAATCAGACAAATGTCCAGTTTAAAGCGAAATTCAAGTTCACTGTGTTCAATTCTCGAAATGAGGAAATTCCAACAACTGTGTATACTGGCACGCAACAGGTAGATATATATCACTACAAAGTACTGTGTGACAATCTCTGTTTCTTCAGTTACACGGTTATTTCGAGTACATTCGAAGGGATTTACTGATCAGTCACGTGCATCCATCAGATGAACTTCAGCTAGTACTGAACATGACCGTCACCTTCGATACAATAACGAGGACTAGTCAGGCGCCAAAAGTCCTAGGACCTCCAGAACCAAAGTTATCAGAGGTGCTTTCCGCTTGTTATTTGAAAATCGGTTTTGTCGATTTTCTACTTAGGTGACAAGAGATCTCGAGTCAATATTCAAAGATGCTAAACTTTCTGACTTCACGATCGTTGTGGGAGATAAAGAAATCCCTGTTCATAAGGTATTATTTTTTCGTTTGATCATGGTCATATCACATGCATCTCCTCCAGTGGCGATCCCAGAGGTTATTCTTTGGAAAAGGGAGCGGGATGGTATAGACTGAAATTCCCCGAACAAGAAAAACGAGATTCACGCCAGCACACTCTCACGAATGTTTTGTCGGATGCTAGAAATTTTGTGGGCTCACATTCTTAAACGTGTAACTATCCACGCCATTTGAAAAGTCTTTTCACAAAGCTAATTGGAACAAAGGAACTGTCTTAAGTTATTGCAAACACAGGTAAAAACAAGCCTCCGAGTACTTATTAACGTTCACGTGCAAATAATCGACTTGTTCTCGTATGAGTATCCCCCCTTGTCGCCATTGGTATCCTCATATTGTGTTGTCATCATCGCTGCTTGCATTCTTCCAGGTCGTGCTGTCTGCTCGATCTCCAGTTTTTGCTGCTATGTTGGAGCCACACACGGAGGAGGCTAAAACTAATAGAGTTATTCTTGAAGATATAGACTACGAGGTAATTGCTAGTCTTTTAATGCTCTTGCCATCTGTAGAGCGCTCTTATTTTCTAGGTAATGCAAGAATTGTTGATGTATATGTACTCTGGTCGTTCCCCAAACATACAATCCATGGGACTGGAATTGTTGGCAGCTGCGGATAGATTTCAGCTACCCGGCCTGAAGGAAATGGCGGATCATGTGAGTTTTATGAAGATATGTCATCACTTTGGGTACTCATATTCAAGGTTCTACGGAATGGATTAATTGTTGACACTGCCTGTAAATTTCTCGTCTACGCTGATATGTATAACTCAACCGAATTGAAAAACGAGGCAGTGAGATTTATTGCGCAGAATATCAACAGCGTCATACAGGTTGTTATTCCAAAGCTTGACCTTTTTCATGAGCTCGCAATGGCAAATCTTTTGTTTGTATGTGATCCACAACTTTTAGACTGACACTTGGGCTGAACTGACTCGAGATCATGGCTGTTTAGTGACAGAAATCGTCGCCCACATGTCTAATGAACGAAAATCGAATGCAGGGAGTATGAACAGTAGCTCTAATTCAATGCATGCGATGTCGCTGAGTACATCCGGTTAGTTTATCTATCGATGTTTTCGAATTTGAAAGTTTTGCCTCCTTTATGCTAGATTCATCGTGCTGACGGCACAAACATAAATCTTACGCCACACTTCTGGATATGTCCTGCAATAGTGCGCTTCATTCTTAAGTATGCTTTCTTCCAGACTAAACTGATTTAGGGGTCTCCCAACAAGAATATGCCAAATTCTATCAGAACCTTTTCCGTCTTTAATCTCCTAGAGTTGAGGTATCTTGAGTAGGAGAGAAACGTAAACGTAAAATAATGCTTTGTGCAAGGCTTGAGATGTCTTTCGCACTTGCTATCTTCTATCTTTGAATTCATATTGAAGTGCCGAAGCTCTTCGGCTATCCGGGCCCCAATTTTTTTTGTTGTGGATTTGGCTCAAATTGCTTCTAGGGGTTTATTCGACTCTGATGCCAAATACTATATTGATCTTGCGCGGTGGTGCCATTTCCAGGGGGTTACGATGGGTATACGGTAAGGGGTTAAAATCACGAATGTGGCTGAAACTTTCTGGGACGGTTATTCGACATGCTGATCACGAATAACAAACTCTTTGTGCGTTCTGAGGCCTTTCTATGGAGTTACGAACGGTAAGAGCTGCTCCAGGCGAAGGCGGCCGCTAAACAAATAGATTGAAAGCATGAAAGGCCGACGCGTACGCGGC